CCCGCCCCGTTTTTGGCGGGCCAATGGCGGGCCGGGCTAAAACGGGCCGAGCTGGCCCGTTTTGCCATCCCTATCTATCGTGAATATGATTATAAAATGTAATACATATTTTATATAAAAATTAAATGCATCTAAAAAAAGTTTCTTGATACACATGTAAAATTAGTTATTTTTGTTATATATAAGTTAAAGAGAGTATTAAATTATAAGTATATGACAATAACATAATATGATTATCTTAATTGACTATAAATAGTTTATAAAACGTCTGATGTAGTTATTATCAAACATGATATGTAATTGCTTTATTTATTATTTATAATTATGTAAATGTTATCTTTAAGGCTGGTTAATCAGTCAACTGATTATTAGTTTTTGTTATTTGTCAAATTAAAAACAATTTTGAAAAGTAATAAAATAAAATAAATAAAAATAAACGTCAAACTGAATCCAAAAAAAAAAAAAGAAACAGTTTGATTTGATATTACATTAAAATTGACGGAAACCAAATTGTATGTATATATAATTTTATTAGCTTAGTTGTTGGGAAGGGAATGGTTGAGATAGTTAGAAGCATGAAGACCTAAGTTCAATCCTCGTTATAATTTTATGTTTAGCTAAAATAATCTTGTCTAAAAATTGAACAACTGGAATCGAGAGAAGCCACCAATGAAAAAAAAATGATTACATGGTTAGGCACAACAAATTATTACATGAGACCACGTGATCCTGACCAATTTCCCCTTAATAGGTATAAATTAAACACATTTTTAATTTATAAAAAAGAATTAAAAATTTTAATTTAAGTCACATAGAGTACACCGAATCTGTTAGGATACAAATTAAAAACGTTTTTAAGAGTTCTAAATATATATATCCAAACATTCTCTTAATGAATCTTTTCAATCGCACAGATTAATCATGTAATAGTTTTTGCGTCCTTTGTCTCAACTAAATCTCACGCAAATATAACGGCGTTTTTTTTTTTTTAATTTTTTTTTTAAGTTAGAAGAAAGAAATAATAAATATGAATTAGACGTGAATTGAAGAGCGAGCCGCAGCATAATAATCGTAGAGGAGAAAATAATTTGTGGTATGATTAGTGATAGAAATATGTTTGAATTGACGTCGGAAACAAGAAGATGTAGTCAAAGTAGGGCATTGTTTAGTGAAGATGTATTGAGAGCATGCATGGCGGTGGAAATGGATATGGATAGTTAGATAGATAGATAGGGTTAAGAAATATAATAAGAATTGAATTAAGAGAAGAGAGGAATGTAGTACCTGGAAAAGGAGTGGCGGAAGTGGAATGGATGTAGCGGCAAGTGCGTCCGTAGGGACAGTGTTTGTTTTGAAGGAATAATCTGCAGAATTTGGGTTGACGCCGGAGCTCGGCGGTGGAGTGGGCGTAGTTGCATTTGGAGCCATGAGCGCAGGCGCCTTTTTTGAATCTCCGGCAGAGTTCAGTTTTGGCCATTAAGTTAAAGTTCCTTTCTCTTTCAGAGCATGCTGCTTCTCCTTCTCCCTTCATCGTTTCTGAATACCAACAGACACACACACCACTTCCTTCACCTTCTACCGCACTTATATATGTATCTATGGATCTCCGGCCCAATATATTATGGGCTTTCCTTTTCTCTAGGCCATCTATTTTTACTTTATTTATGAGACAGATCCTCCACTCTCTTATAAACACACCCTTTTTTTAAAAAAAATATAAATAAAATATCTAAATTACCCTTTAAAAAAATAAAATTCCTAAATTTATACTCCTCTTTTCCGCACCCCGTATCCCGTTCCCCGCACCTCACACCCCGTTCCCCGCACCCCACACCCTCCCTAACCTCAGCAATAAACATCAGACGGAAATGGAGAATTGGAGATGACTAATAGGGTCAGGGATGAGTCATTACTTCAAAATTTAATCATCATTTTTTTCGTAAAAATCCTATATATTTTCATTCCGGCTTGACACGTAATTGTAGTTTTCATTGTTTAGATTTTTGTGGAGTTGTTTCTGAGAGCTTCAGGAAATGATCTCACAATGGATTGTCGCTGTCTGATTTTCGGTGTTTCTCTACTTATCGTAGTATTATATCCCATGTTACCATGTTCGCATATTTCTGTGCTTCTCAATTTTATTGGACACCTACATGAAGTGTCAATGTTACAATAAATGGATCTATGGCTCTATGCTCTCTTCCGTTTCTGGTCTTGAAGACCAGAACATGAAAAACAACGATTGAAAGTATCTAGCGGCAGCGAGGGTGTCGAGGGCGAGATCAACGACGGAAAGAGGCTTTAGGAAGAAAGGAGGTGTGGAGTGTGGGGTGCGGGAAAGAGGCTTTTAGGAAGAAAGGAGGTGTGAAGTGAGGGGGTGCGGGGAAGGAGGTGTAAATTTAGAAATTTCATTTTTTTAAGGGTAATTTAGACATTTTATATATTTTTTAAAAAAAGGGGGTGTGTTTATATGAAAGTGGAGGTGTGTTTATTACCTGCCTATTTTTTATTTTTAAACTTTTTATACCAAGCCATATAATATACTGACAAATTACCGTTTCCAATATTAATATTTTTAAATAATAATAACAATAGTAGCGTAAAAATTTGTAAAAGAAAATAAAATTAAAATATAAAATATATTTTAAGCCAAACAGTCCTATGAATTGAAGAAAATAGTTCCATTTCCAAAACAAGTTGAAATATTGACTTTTTTAAATCTCTTTTTAAGTATCGTGCAACTTTAGTTTATCTTTATTTTTTTTTTTTTAAATTAATCCTTATTTTTCCCATATACTTCTTTTATTAACCTTTTATTTTTTGTCCATGAAATATAATTTCTACATATCTATTTGATTTTTTTCCTTCTTTTTGGTATAACAGGAGGTATTTGGGCTACTATGTGCCACCAAACGTTAAATATTTAGATAATTCATGTACATTATTTAATATAGGCTAAAAACTTATTTTGGTCCCTTATAATAATTGTTTGTTTCAATTTAGTCCTATTTTTATTTTTGGTCTCAATTTGATCCTTAATAAATTAATTGGTTGTAATGTAGAACTTCCATCTAAATTATTTAAACGAAGTTAATTGTTGGTCACGTGACATGCACGTGGATGCCACGTAGATACATAGGTGGATGCCAATTTTTTTGAAAATACCTGGAACCAGAATGGCCCGTTCTGGGTTCACTCTTGGTGTGTTAATTTTGCATCCGGAACGGCCCGTTCCGGGTGCAAAGTTAACACACTAAAAGTGCACCCAGAACGACCCGTTCTGATTTCAGAATGAGCCGTTCTGGTTCCAGGCTGTTACACACAAACTGTCGATGATTATAGTTCACGGTTGTGAATCGTGAAAGGAAAAAAGACCCAAGGTACAAAGCATTTCAAACACTGGATTTGGTAATATTGTCAATGGAAATTGATAACTTCAATTGCTAAACAGTTGGACTATATAGTGTATCATTAAGGACAATGCAGTGTATCACTAAAGACAATGGTAACAGATTTTATTTCATTGTTAGTTAAACTGGAGTGAACCACTTACTACCAAATTGACACTATACAGTAAATGATGAAATGACATGGTATTTTTTCTTGAAGTCATTAACGATGTACCCCAACAACAACAACCTGTTTTTGAAGAGGTAGAACCTGAAGTAAAGGAAGATGATACACAAGACTAACATTTCACTACACAACCACATGCAAGGACAGATCTAAGTTAATCATAATGAGGGCATTTTCCCCCACTAAATTTTTTTTCATTCTTTTTTTTTTTTATATATATAAAATATTAATAATTTTATAAAATATATATTATTAATTATATTTTAATTATCTTGTTATATTTAATATAATAAATACATTAATATATTTTTATATATTTTATTTTATTGTTTAATTGTTTTTTATTTTTTGGTAAAATTATCTTCATTTTTAATGAAGAAAAAATTTACTTACTTCAACATTAAGTCTTGATAGATTTATTTTACTTAATAATTAATGTTCTATATCAAATTTTTAAAAATTTAATTGTTAAATTAATTTTTTTTCATATATAGATCAAATTTATAAAAAAATTTAAAAAATTAAAAATCTTATGATACTTCGTTAAATTAATTCAAAATAACATATAAAATATTTTTATTTTAAATGAGTGTAAAAATTTAGAGGACACTAAAAGAAAACAAATTAATAATTTTATTATGTTTATCCTATTAATTATTATCATTTTATTCCCCTAATTTTAAATAAGTTGCAAAAAATTATTAAGTGACACTTAAATATTTCTTCAGACAGAAAGAGAAAAAGGAAAAGTTGTCACTCTATTTATAAGACAATTGTATTTTATAAAAATATGTAATTTTAAAATTTTTATCATAAAAAAATATTTTTCAAAATTATTATAATTCTGGAACGGGCTGTTCTGCATCCAGAACGGCCCGTTCTGGTTTCAAAACGGGTCGTTCCTTTGTACTCTTGATGTGTTAATTTTGCATCTGAACGTTCCAGATGCAAAATTAACACACCAAGTGTGCACCCAAAACGGTCCGTTCTGGTTTCAGAACGGGTCGTTCTGGTTTCAGAACGGGTCGTTCTGGTTCCAGGTATTTTCAAGAAATTTGGCATCCACCTTTGTATCTACATGGCATCCACGTGGCCAACAGTTAACTCCGTTTAAATAACTTAGACAGAAGTCCCACATTGCAACCAATTAATTTATTAGAGAACAAATTGAGACAAAAAATAAAACTAGGACTAAATTAAAATAAACAATTATTATAAGAGACCAAAATAAGTTTTTAGCCTTTAATATATGAAAAATTACTTATTTACATTATATAAGATCCAGGTACATAAAAAAATTAAAAGTATTTATAAAGCACACTCATTAATTACCACAAATAACCACCAATCTCATAGATTAGTAAGTTATTTTCATTAAAAAATATTAACAATGAAAATAACAATACTAATATTTATAATGATTGTTAGACAAATAAAAATCATAAAAAAATGATTAAAGATCTAATAAAAGTACGATTAAATAAATAAATAACAATAATATTCAAACATTGTTATTGTTATAACTCACACCTTGTTTTAATTTAAAATCAGTGTACAAATAAAAAAATTAAGTGAACATTTTCATTTAATACAATAAATTAGCAAATGGCATTTCAATATAAAATAATTTAAGATCGTCACTTAAATTTTTAATAACCATTTTTTAAATTAAATCAGCTACTTTGCAGCCTTAACTACATATAATTTAGAAACAAATTGTTGATAGACAGGTGTGCCGATTGCTATGGAAATGGTTTTTGCAAGTAAATCACTTCATTCTCGTTCTAGTGTCTTGAATATACGGCCATTTGCAAACCAAAATGCAAGAGCGTGACAACAGGAACAAGAAAATGAATGAGAAAATAGAGTTGTTTTATTTTACCATTGTCTATGCGATGCAAAACTAATACTAAAAGTAAAAAAAAAAACAAACAAGCTATGGACCACAGGAACTCAAGAGTAAAGAATATATGTAGAGTCAATTACAGCATGGCTGGCAAGGGATGTCTCTTCCTCAAAAAAATGAAACCTATTGAAGCTTCTTTATTCCGGGGAAAGATGGCAATATTGCAACAAGTGCGTCACCATATCCAACAGGATCTGTCAAACACAAATAAGAGTTACACCACACAGTACTAGTCCTAGTCTAGTCCTTAGAGAGTAGGAGTCTTTTTGGGTAAACTTTCCCACAAACACCTCTTAAGAAGGTAAAATAAGAACGAAAAAAAAAATGAAACAAGTTTTTCCATAAGTTGAAATTAAATTATACATAACCTAATATGTAGCAGTTTTCTTCTGTTAGTTTCTACAAAATCTTATTTTTAACTCACATCAAGAAGCTTATTTCTATTTTTCTTATTATTTTTCTCTCTTAGAAGTGTTTCTAGAGAAATTTATCAATACAGACCCTAATTAAATTAAATTGATTCAGGAAACTAACCACCATCCTTTCGTAGTATCTTGATGACCTCCCCCGTCACATCAGACTACAAACATGAATCAGAAACTGTTAATAATCATATCATAATCATGGCAACCTGGAAGAGAGGTCAAGACACAAACCTCAATTGGCAGCTCTCCACCAAGTTGTTCAATATAACAAATCACCTGCCCCTCCTCAACATTTTGTTTCTGTCAATTGATACACAGCACAACTTCATCAAAAACACCAAACAAAAGCCAGAATAATAATTAACCAAATTTTGTGAATTACCTACCTACCAGTCTTGTTTTCAAAACATGCAATTTAATAATCATGTATTTAATTGTCAAACAGATAGAGATAGAAAATCATAAAAAATAAATAAATTTTTACAAGTTGTATATTTCTCTATATCCACAAAAGGTGTCAATGTATTATGTAGAAGAATAACAAGATTTCCCCAGAAAAAGGAAAAGAGAAAAGCTGGGAACAACTATACCTCTTTACATGAAGGTGGAGCACGCTTCCCCTTTATGGTTCGTGATCTCCTGAAGAAACCAACCTGTTCTACGGTTTTAGAGTGCATTATGTAAAGAATGTAAAGTATAAGTTTCAGATCCTTACCTTTGGAGACTGAATTATTACCAAGCCTTCATCAGCAGCTTTGTCTAGGAATCTCTGGATAGACCCTAGAGAAGGTACTGGATTTGAGATGGCCAACGAAGTTGTAGAAACTGATCCATTTGTTTTAGGTGTTTCTGGAACATTATTTATACTTACAGAAGCAGGACTCGCTGAGGGTAGAGTTTTAATATTTTCACCCAAATCCCTCACTACATGCAGGTGAAACCCAGCAAGCTGAAATCATTTGGAGGTTGGGCAGATGACAATAAAGAGAAGAAACAACAATAGGAAGAAAGATTTAAGTAATGTATCTAATGCCATTATGAGAGAGAAATTGAATAATATTGTGCCGATGAAGAAATTAAAGATTCAACTTCATCGTGCTTACCTTTAAATCTAACTCCCCAATTGAACTTGTGTCACATAATTTTGTGAGCAGGAACTCCACCTGTAAAGAGATTACAAGTTTTAAAATTTTAAAAGAAGATTATCCATGCATATAGAAATACATGACTTTGTAAATGGCACGAGGACTTCAAATTTTCCATTCATCAAGGATATGGTAGAAAATAGACTTGCAGTTGAGAGTGACGATGCATTCCAATGAGATCACATGCCTGACCAGTGTGCTGTAGGTCAAGCCTTAGGATGTTAAACATCTGGTAGGTTCATAAGCTCGGACACAAACTGAACCCTTATTTTTGCCAGTTTAATCTGAAAGAGCTTAAGGTCAAGAACCTAATGTAGGGCAAGAATTCAAGCACGGTGTTGGCCAATTTTAGACCAAATGTATACTGGCAACATATTGAAAGCACATAATATTATATACATAAAATAAAATGGTTTCATAAATATGAAGCAATTTACTCATAAATCAAACAGGGTCAATAGAAATCAGGTCAAACCAAGGGTTGAAAAATGAAAATAACCTTAAAAGTAGTCAAAAACTTAATTAACAAATAAGGTTATAGATGACAGACCACAGAAGAATGTCATCACAAATTTGGATCTGTTTTATAGATGGTTATTGCTCCAGACAATTGAGCAGAGAAATAGATGAATAGACAATGAGATATTCCAAGCACTAACCTCATTAAAATTAGGAATCAGCTCACTTGTCAAGCCTGATGATTTATTCTCTTCAGAATCTTCTTCTGACTTTGTAACAACTGATGTGTAATCATTTAAAGTATGTTATAGAAGTCAGAATAAAGGACAAAATATCAAGTTAATAGGCTTTTGCCTTGTGCAAAACTTCAATTCAGTTGCTTTAAATGGTATATTAAATAGTTCCAGTCTTTACTCAAAATATTAAGTACTGTAAATTAGCCAACATAGACTAGTGCAAGTTCCTGTCTAGTGTCCATATTCCTTGTATCACAGCAAATTGCAAACTAGTGTAACCGTTTTGCCATAGAAGTTCCTCAGATTCTATATGAAAAGCACTATCCTAAGTAGAGTAATATAGCAATTAAAATTTTTAGATAGTCTATACAAGGAAAAAAAATGTAAAAAAATAAAAATAAAAATAGAATAACTTACATTCGATATCTGGCGATGGGTCATTCGGTGATGCTAAAAACCTAACTGTCTGTCGTGACATGACCAAACTAGTGTACTGCAATGACTGCCTACTGATCCAGCTTCTTGTACCATATTGCTGAGAAAGGCCAAATTTTATTCCACCAAAGTGCAAGTTCAATAGTTTAATGTTTGAGGTCCCTAAGCTACCTGCAATAGAATTAATGATGCAAATAGCCATTATTTTTAGGGAATACATCTAAATAACCATTTGGTGGTATAAAAAAACTACATAATGTTCTTTCATAGTTTCATTAGTAAGTATCTACATATCAAGACAACATAATAATTGATGAACAAATAAAGTTTCTTTAAAATGTTACAAAATTTGTCTTGCATATTTGAACAATGCTCTGATTTATTGAAAACAAATTCACACCAACAAAATGCTTTGATGATATAAAAGAGAAAAATACTTAAGAAAAAACAAAATAATAGGAAATTCTGATAGCTTCTTAGACTACATAGCGTCTTTGACAGAGTTTAGAATGAAGAAAGTGAGTGCAGTAGATGTGATCATGGTGCTGATAAATATCATTTCAACACTAATTAGGATTATATTTTTAGTTTTACACATGAAAGTGCTATTCATGGAAACACATATTCTTTGCATTGGCAATGGAAGTTGTTATAACCAATGTTCTTTTCTCATAAATCAGTCACATACTCCTGAAGTCCTATTTATTCGACTTTGCAGTCCATCTTTGAGGCTTAGAACAGAAAGCCCACGTATACTCCTGAATTGAAGAACAGGAATCCAGTGGGATCACAAATTAAAGGACAAGAAGAACTATCCGCAACAATCTGCTAAGCTTAAGTCATGGAATGAATATACCAAGGCACCAAGCAGCTTTAAACACCAACATAAAACCAAAAAAAAAAAAAAAAGATATTGGAAGCCAACCAATCAAGTTGTTTATTGAAATATTCAGATTCAAGAAAGAAAAGAAAAATGGAAAGACATAAACCCGAAGGCTGCAGCAATTCATGAATTTAACATCAATCTTTTCTTGTTCTATAGGAATTACAAAAACGGCGACAGGATTCAAACCTAGGAATTTTAAAATTCTTCCTACCCTTTATGTGGCAATCTACTTTATTCTTAATCATGATTACTTATGTTGCTCCGCCTATTTTAAGTCACAATTTGTTATTTATCTAATCTAAAATTAGAACCCAGCATCAGTAGAAAGCAAATTAGATAATAGATAACTCAAACATGACATTTGCCATCTTAATAATTAATTACGCGCTGAAAAGGATGAAAAAGGAGATACATAAATTTTGGTATGAAATTCAGCATTGGATATTCCAACTCCACCCACAGTCTCTGATATTGCAAAGCACATGCAAAAGATAAAATTATGGACAGCACAAAGGGTGTGGAATGAAAAAGCTTCTACCTTTATGAAGTAGCAATTGTAATTTATAATTAGAAGAAAGAAAAAAAAGAGGGAAAACTCACATGAAGCCATTGGGAGCGTGTAAAGGGTAAAGGGTTGGGAAGTGAATAGCATAAGACTTGAAACTTGGAAGAGCAAAGAAAAAAGAAGACAGACAACATGGAACGAATGAATGAACCAAGATTGACGGTTACAGCTGGGCAGGGCTACACTTGTAATTTTACCTTCTCTCTAATAATAGTATATTTAGATATCGCAAATCAAATTTCTAGTGGGTCAACTCTACTTTTAAATTTTAACAACATTTTTATTTTGATTTTGATTAATTTATCTATAAACATGTGTTTGTTTACATCTTTTTTATATATTTAAAATGAGTTTAATTACTATGCATTTAATGGCTATGTATCTTAAAAAATATTGTTATAAACTTTGATAAGTATTAAATAAAATTAGGTATTTTTATTTAATAACATTTTTATAGATACACATGGAGATAAAAGCCATTCATTTAATAAATTTTTAGTCCATATGCAATGTAAAAGATAATTATTTATTTCATATTGTTATAGATAAATTTATAATTAATAAATAATTATATATATATAAATTGTAATAATTTATTTAAAAACATAAAAAGTAAAAAAAATGTTAAACAATATGAAAATAATATATTAAAGGAGATAAGGATTTAAAAATATAATAAACTAAATATAAAAATAATTGAGAGGGATGACATTTGAATTTGGTGATTATATATATATATATATATATATATATATATCATTTTATATTTAGTTACAAATTGCTAGATAATAGATGGTTTGTTTAATATGAGAATTACAAAATAAATTGTTTGAGTGAAGTATTTATGAGATAAGAATAGTCAAATGATAATAAATGTAATAAAAAGTGAAACATTTACAAAATGTAGAACTATTTTAATTTATATGTGTGTATATCTAGTAATTTATAAAAAATACTTTTATTCGAATATAAGTTAGAAGTATTTTTAAAAGTTTCTCTATTTAAAAAAAAAAACTTTAATTTTAATAAAAAAAACAATATTCAAATAGAATATATATATATATATATATATATATATATATGTATGTATATAAATAACATAAATGATTAGGTTTGAGTAAAAACAAGTAAAATCAATATAATTTTTTAAAACCTTTTAATAACAATTGAATTTTAACTTCATGTCCCTCTAATAACATTTCTTTGCATATAACCTTTCAAATATTGAAGTTTTCTCACTCATGTTATTGAATTTGAATAATATGTTTAAGTTTATGATATTTATTAACTGATAGAATCACTAAATTGACCCGGTTTGGTGGATTGGCCTTTGGCTTGCTAGGCTAAGCCAACTTGAACTCATTGTTGTTGGCCTCGAAAAAGATTAGACCAATTTGGTCGAATTTAATGGAGATTGTTGAACTACAAAAAATTTAAACTTGAAAAGTAATAGGCTTATTTGGCCCAATATTATTTTTATTTTTATATTTTTCCTTTTACATTAAATGTAAAATTATTAAAAATAAATATTTGTGTTAAAAAAAATACTTTGATAAATATTTAAAGAGATAACTCAAAGACTATTTAAGTTGAATTGTATTCTATTTTTTCGACTTTTTACCTTGACTTATCCCTTTACTAGTTTTGTAAAGTTGTTGAAATTTTTAATAGACACAATTCAACTTCTTTATTGTGTTTATTTTAGTTTCACAAGTGCAATTCATATTTCTCATAACTTAGTCTTTCATGAACATACTAAGTAAATTGAGTTTCACTGTCACTTCACTAGACATCTCCTTCTTCAAGGGACCATTAGTTTACCATTGATATCATCTTTCAAGCATATATATATATATATATATATATATATATTAATACTGCATGAATAGTTGATCAAAATATAAATAAGTTTGTTAAGATTTTATATAATTAATATCTCTAAAATATTTTTCATTTAATTTAGATTATGTTTTTAATGATTTTTATATTTGATATTAAATTTCAATGAAGGAAGGTATAGAATATAAATTTGTATATTTGATTACAAAGTTATTCAAATATACAACCACACTTTATAAAAAGAAGAAAAAATATAATTATCTTTTAAATTATTTTTTTCTCACATCATAAAAATCCAAATTTAATTTTCGTAGTTTTCGAACAAAACATTCTTCTGTGGGTAATTGGAATCCAAATTCAAATTGGATTTGGAATTATTAATTTCTATTTTTTTAAAGTAGTAATTTCAATTGTTGACTTTTTTTTTCAAATTGTTTTTTATTATTAAGAGAAGGCAACGAACATAAAATACGAGCTTATTTTACAGAAAAATATATTTTTAGTTAAAATTAACAAAATTAAATGATAATAATTAGCTTTATCAAATTAATTAACTTTCTTAATTAGTGTATAAATCAGTTAATTTTATTCAGTTGAGTAAGGATTATGCAATAAATATTATTAATGTTACCAATTTATTTTTTTCATTTGAGTATAATTAAATCATTAAATTTAATTTGATCTAACAACCATTGGAAAATTTAGATTTCCATGAGTGGTTGATCTTGAGCCTAACTTGTTGGTAAGTTTTTCAACTACTACTACCGTAATTACAATGTCTTGGATTCGAGGCTCGACACCAAAAGATTTCCATCCACTAAGCAAGTACAGTTTACATAGATTTATAGATAGACATGAGAGCGAGGTTATTATTTTAAATTTTAAATTATTATTATTATGATCATGTTATTGCTTTTAAATTTAAATCAATAAATATTATTTTAAATTACAATAATTCCTATTACGGTCATGTTATCAAACCTTTTAATCATATCAACTCACCAAACAAGAAATTAAAAATAAATTATGATAATTTATTATTATTACTTTTTATCTGGACTATCAAACATTCAAACTAGTCACTATATTTGGTTGGGGTGAACTAGGGTGCAAACCTGTGTTCAATCTCAAGGAATGATTGTGCTCATCGAGTCAATGGCCGTCATGATCTCACACACAAGAGAGAGCAGTTGTTAATGATGTTTGATCTAGTGAAATGAAGGGATCTTCAACTGTTTTTTTCTCGTATTTTGGGCTGTGAATAAAAATGACCCAAGTTGAACTAATTAGCCATGGCCCATGGGATTGGCAACCTAAACCGAATTCTACGACTTGAGCAACGGGAACCAGAGGCAAACACACTGACAAAAAGGATCTTTTTCTTCATGTTATCATCGTAGAACATAATAAGGGTAAATTGAAAGTGTTGTCGAGGCAAGCAAGCCCCAGTTACATCTTCAAATACTATCCAGCTAATGCTGGGTAAGGATTATGAAAAAATAGTTTATGTTTATCATTTATTTCAGTATCCCTTTCCATCGTTTGGCCATGCTTAACCAAATCACTTGTCATTAAACTTCTTTTTTTTTTTTTTCTTTTTCTTTCTTTTTTTTACAAAAATCCTTTTCCACGTTGAAAATACCAGCAAATTGCGACAGTATACGATTCTGTGCACACAATTTTCTTTCTCCCCTCATCAGCTTTTAACTTCATTAGCCCAAGGATCCGGATCAGTCCGTGGCGACATCCAAGTGAATGAAATCACCATTTCTACACTATTAGACTCACTAGCAGAATACTTCATTTAGCATCATTTTCATCTAGCAAACTTTGATGAGGCAATACCATTTCCATGCACATTCTACGCATTAAACATCCCATTTTAGCAAAACCATCATAGATTATCATCGTTTATATTGGTTGAAGCATTACATCCAAAGACAGTGTCGCTTTAATATCCTTTTCTGCTCCGGCTACTAGGACTAGCTACACTCCTAGAACCGAGTGATTCAGGAGAACCTTGCAAGTTTCTCACACCAGGGGAGGAACCTCCTCGATGTACAGGAGATGCAACTTGACGTGGAGATCCCAAACCTGCCTCACTCCCTCTATATGCCTCAGCCTCCAGACTTTTGGCTTCTTCACTCAGAAATGCTAACTGTTATATCAAAAACATAAGTGCAACACATGTTTAGAATGATTGAACAAACGTAGAGTCCTGGTTGACAAAAAAAATCTCAAATTTACTGAAGCATCAAATAACAGATTGAGAGGATTGGGCTAGAAGGATTTGAAATATATATCCAAAATCCCTTAAACTTTTAGAAGCTAGTAATGTGGTCAATCAAAAACTATCATGATGCAACTATAAAAGTTGATAAATAGTTAAATACCCGAATTTCATTCTCTCTCAGTCGATCTTGAAGTGCATTTATTGCAGGACTTAAACTGTAAAGTCAGAAAAGTAGTAAATGATTATTGGAGAAGTAGTAATAAAGACGAAAGAGAGGAATAGAAAAATGGACATTTTGCTCTGACCAATATTCAATCAACTTGCACAAGGAAGCCTGATAAGTTGAAGTATGGTGTATGAAAGTCAGTGGATGCACTTTCCCATCTCTGCGAAGTACAAATGAATGGCACATAGGAAATTAAAGACAGTAAAAAAATGATGATATATAATTAATGTGAATAAAATGCTCCCATCTCAATACCCCACCCCAAAAAAAAAAAACTTCCATAAAATCTTCATTTAAGTATTAAGATTGAGCATATAGTCTACCAAATTATCACCTCATATTTTGTGAGATGGCTTGATTATAAGCATTTTGCTCCTCTTCAAATAGTACACGTTGCAGATCTGTGTATGACGATAGTGGTGAATCAAGGTTGATTAGTGATGGGGCTGGCAAAACATGAAGAGGAATTTCTTTTCTTACATATTCTGCACCACTGCAACCAATAAAAGCCAATTTAAAACCCAAGATTGAGAGAAACTATCTTTTCAACCTCATAAATGATTAAATATGGTTGACCTGACCAATCATAATACAAAGAAGACAGAAAGAGGTACTACTATTTTATATTAAAGAGATGCTCTACAATTATAGCATCTATTTATCATTTACACTTTAACCAACAGATATTGAGAAGTATTCAAAGAATGCCTATCCCCATTATGGGATTACATTAATAGAAAATTTATGGTGTAATAAGATATTAATGGCCTGTGATACACATTGGCGCAAATGTGTGAAGGAAAGTTTTAGATAACCAAAGAGGAATCATCGCTGAGAAGCATTAGAGGGAATGTTTTCAAGGCAGGCTAGAATTTATGTTCAAACAGAAGCCAACTATTGTTCAGGACAAATGGATACTGGGTTCTTCCCATAATATTCCTGTCTGTCTTTATAACAGCTATCCACATCCTTATCAAGTCACAGGTACTTGAGGCTTTAGAACTGAAACAGCCGTCACCATGTTCCCCTATGTTTCAAGGGGACATGAATCACATGATTGAATCGCAATACCAAAATTAGGCCTGAAAAATATCAGTTGATAAATATATCAGTGGTCAATTATATACTCATCAATATTCTATACCTCATTTCCAAATTTGAACGATGCATAGCCTCCTGCATACTTTCTGACATATCCATGGGATCAACATCAACTGTGTTGGACTCCAAATTGTTGAGATGGTAGTTTCCTCCACTTTTATCTCTCCCTAGATAGTTGGCATCAGCATTAGCGAAGAAATTCCCTAAGTCTGATCTTCCCCCATCCTAGCCAAAATATATAATTGCATAAATATACATTAAAAAAAAAAAAGGAAACACAGAATGCAGTATTTTTATCCTGTACAGAACAAGAAACAAGTCTAATTTATTAATAGGGCAGTCTCAATGGACAGAATTCATTTCCCACGAGATGAAGCTGGAGTGTTTGCGTTTCAGGTTATACCCTCATTTTGCCATATGAACACAAAAAGGTATATACACAAGTGAGCATTGGGTCAGTTTGTTCAAACTATTTTTTCCTAAAAAACTTTTCTTTAATAAAATAATCAATTTTCTACTTTTGACATGTTTGTCTAAACTCTTATTTGGAAAAAAAGACATGTTCTTTGTTTTTTTTTTAAGAAACGACTTTTACTTGCTTCTTAAAGAATTGTTTTTCTAAAAGCAATTTTTTAAAAACACTTATTTTTAATTTCAAACAAACTGGCCCATTATAATGGAAAAGAATTACATTATCCTCAAGTAAAACTACTTTCAGGAAGAAAAAAAAAAAAAAAGCAGTTTAGCCACATGCTGAGGGTGATTGATTATACGATAAAACAAAAATTGATAAACTAGTAAAATACTATACTGAACACAAAAATCATAGATAATATACTTGTTGTCCAACGACAAAAAGTCTCCTATAGAGAGTATTCTGGACTGACAAACTACAAATAACTAATTTCTTAATTACACCCCCTAGTATTAGCCTTAATCCTCCTAATACATAACTTACATCAGTTATTTTCTATGAAAGCTGCCATCATGCAGTTTCCCATACAGAATTACTAATACACAATAAGTTATATACATACATATACACACACACATATATACATACCCCTAATAATAACTGCCTCCAATCTATCAGCAGATCCTTCCTAACCCATTTGGATCTCAGTTCCCATCACTCAATCCAATTTCTGCTTTTCAGATGTAGAAAAGAAGATGGGATTCTAAAGCTTGTTGGTTCGAGTATCTTGCACAGAAAACTTTGCCATACTATCAATACATCACAACACCACACTGGAAGGGAAGGGAACACTAAAAAAACATTCCGGCATGACAGTATCTTAACATTAAAAAAACACTCTGCAAGGTCATGTAAGACATTTTGTTCAAAAACGAAGATAGAAAAGCAGAAAACAAACAGAACTGAATTTTAACAAAGAAACACCCTAGTCTTACAAATTCAACAAGGCATAAGCTGCACCATGTTTTTCCTACATTCTAAAAACCGTTGCCTATTCAATTCGAGACACGACAAATTATACCATACTAGCAACAACACTCATCTTAAAACCAATTCGAGATACAACAAATTATACCTTACTAGCACCAACACTTGTCGAATCCCCGGTGTCTTGCTCAGTGCCATCTGCCTTAAAGTAACCAGATCGCACAGAGACATTCTCCGAGGAACTGGGCGACGAATCAATATCAATAACAGAGCTTCTATTTACAGGAGACAAAGGCACAGGCCGTGAAATGGAACTCTGCTTCCCATCAGAGGACTGGAAAGCAATGACCTGAATCCTTCCCACCTGTACACAGTCCAACAAAGCTGTCATTCCATGTTAATTGTCAATTTTCAATTTTCACCATGCATTGAAGAGTGAAGACAAACCTTGTTTACATCCTCACTATAGCATGAAAAAATCAAGCCAATGAATCCAGAATCGAGAAGCTGATACATTGCCTGAGTCCGCACGTCAACGTGCGAAGGGAGAACCGTAATGTGAGGGTGCGAGTGGTACCAGCCGATGACTCTGGTGGTTCTGCCGGTGGCGGAGGTCATCCTCTCGGCGAGGGCGGAGGCCGCGGCCAACTGCTCGGGATTCGTTTCGACGCGATCCTTGCGGCGATCGGACCTCGTTTGCGGCGACGCTCCCCATATCAATGCCGTGACGCTGCCGTTTTTGGAATGCTGAATTGTGGAATTCGAAAGTCAGCGAGTTGAATTGAATTGAATGGAGAATAGCGAAGGAAAGTTGAATTAGGTTTTACCTGAATGTCGCCGAGGAGAAGGCCCATGATTTCTTCGGTTTCGGTGGACAATGCGTGAGTGACGCAACTTAACCACACTTCCGAAGACATTTTCACGCTCGTCAGAGACATTATCGATTCTGCGAATTCAAAACCCTCACTCAACTAAACCCTTCCCTTAATCGATTAATCTCTCTGTCTCTCTCGTTTCGCCTTCTTCGGCTCCAACCTTCAACTCGATAAAGTAAACAAACAGTTTCTCTTGTTCTTCCTCATTAAATTAATGCTTTTTCTCTTTTATTTAATCCATGCCCTAAACCTGCTTCTTAATTCCTATTAACTCTTCTCGTTTCTCATACTCTGCTTACTAATTGCTTTCTCTGCTTTTTTTTTTTGTTTGGTCGGTATCTTTGTTGCTTGGCCCAACGCCAACCATGTCTTTCACAAACAAAACAAAAAAACAAGAGAGTTTAATTTTTATGCATAGTGTCTAACATAGTGAGTATGTTACCCATATTTTTCTCATGTTATATCCACTTATTATATCTTTCAACATTTTTCCCTACTATTTTACATACCAAAAAATTATTTAATTAAAAAGAAAATTATTTAATATTTTTATAATAAATTTAACATGAATTCGATACTTATATAAGAGAACAAACGAGTACTAGAATCAAAATTGAGGATTATTCTTTAAGTTTAACTACAGCTGCACAATTTTAGAGGAATTACGAAATTTACTCACGTTTATTCATATCAGAGTCATTGACTAAACAGATAATTAAATTAAGTGTTTTATACCCTCCTCCTCCTCCTTATTATTATTATTATATTAAAAATATTAACAATATATTTTCTAATTCATTTTATTTAACATATTTTTATTGATAATAATTTATTAAAATTAGAAAGTAAAAAAATATTAAATAAGATTAATTTCATTAAATTATATTTTTTAATAAATTTTAATTAATCAAATAAAATATATTTGAAAGAGAATAATAAAATGTATTTAAAAGAATGCGGAAGAGGGTGTATCGGTAGGATTTGATGTTATCTTTCTTCCTTTTGTTTATCTCACATGACAATATGGCAATTAAAATTGAAAAAAGGAAATGATGAAAAGTAAATAATGTGGCGAAACTCCAGAGGCTGATAAAAATCTTCTAAGGGGCAGTGAATCTTAAGAGCGGCACGTGCCTTACACGTGTCTTGAAGTAGGACACGTGGTAATACTACAGAAGGCATGAAATGCTATAAATACTAAGAATGCAATTCAAACATAGTCAGTCACAGGTGTTTGCAATAGTTGATAAAAGATACTGTTAATATTAAGGAGAGTTGAGTTGAGATTCCCTTTCAAGAAAACAAACATGGCATCCCATAACCAAAGTTATGAAGCTGGTGAAACCAAGGGCCGAACTGAGGTAACAATCTATTACAACTATTTTATTCTTTTCATGCAACCTCAATGTTAGTTAGAACACATCTTTTATCTAGAATAAAAAATAGAGATTTATACGAGGTGTGAGAAAAACGTTTTAACCACAAGTATGATTGATTACCTTATATTTGAATAAATAACCTCGTTAAAAACAAGTATTTGTTTGTTTTTATTTTATGGCCAAATCGTTTAAAGAAAGAGATTAACTTCCATTGTGGGTCAGGAAAAGACGAACCAGATGATGGGCAATATTGGGGACAAGGCCCAAGCTGCAAGGGACAAGGCCCAGGAAATGGCCCAAGCTGCGAAGGACAAGACCCAGCAAACAGCCCAAGCTGCAAAGGATAAGACCCAACAAACAGCCCAATCGGCGAAGGACAAGACTTGCGACACTTCCCAAGCTGCCAAGGAGAAGGCCCAAGAGAACAGAGGTGCTGCTAAAGAGAAGGCTTCGGGGATGGGCCAGGCCACGAAGGAATCAGCCCAGTCGGGGAAGGACAACACCCAAGGGTTCCTTCAGCAGACAGGGGAGAAGGTGATGGGTGCGGCCCAAGGTGCTACAGAGGCTGTGAAGGAAACCCTGGGCTTGGGCCAGCATGATCAAGACAATCGCAGAAATCACTAGCTAGCTACTTTTAAATAAGCTGCTATTCCCTCCTACCTAAGGAGTACTATTATCTGCACTTTCTATTTCATAGTTTCATGTATGTTTTATGATATCCATTTCCCTTTGTTAATGTCAACTATGTTATAATAATGCCATAGCCTTGGTTTGTTTCTTTTTAGGTGCATTTACACTTTTGTGTCTCACGAATGTCGAATTAAAATTAACGTTGCTCGCACGCTTCAAATGGAATTGTATGATGTATAATTTAATTTACTTGCTGCTAATGCTACATAATTGTGCTGTCAGTGCAATATACTAGTCTTAATTCAAACTAGGCAAAATTGTGATGGTTTGGGTGTGACCAAATGGGCGTGCAAAAATAGGCAAAATCACGCATTACTATTTCAGTTCACCGTGCTTCAAGATTCTACTTCCTTTGGTTTAACTTAGACATCATTTTCTGCAAACCCGATTGCCACATGTCAGCCGGGGCTTCGTTATGTGAGTCTTGAAAAGAAGCGCACTAAATCACTCGCTCATCATATCGTTACTTTCTTCAATATCACTGACTCCTTCAAATGCTTCAATAGATCCTTCATCACTGTCATCTTGATCACTTTCCAGATCCTCGGATTCTTCTGCACTATCCTCATCCTCATAGATAATTGGCACTGTTTCACCTTCATCTACTTCTTCATCATCAACAACCTGTTTAAAAGAAACCATGAATAAGTGATCCCAATCCCAAATACTGGTAACACATTTAAACGCGGAAAATAGAAACTTACCCTTGTGTAAAGAATGTCTAAGCAACTTGATAGATGAACGGCAGATTCAAAAGTCGAAACTCTAGATTCAATCAACTAGACAAAAACAACAGATTCAATTAAGGAAAACGCTATGGTATGGGTACAAAAAGCTTAAGTGCTAATATTCACGGTTTACTCAAACCAAATGAAGCCTACCTAAGGTGCACCTGTAATTGAATTATTCAGCAATATTCTTAAACTTGGTATAGATTATTTCTATTGTTAAATCCAACTGATTTATTAAACTACTGATGAAGATGCATTGCCAAATTCTAGCATATCCACACAAAAAAATCAATTTATTGAAATCAAATTGAAAATAAAATGCCTTTCTCAAGTACATCCACAGATATGAAATACATATATGATATTATGCTTTATGATATATCTTATCTTGAACTTGTAACTTGGAAAGCATAGGTTAAACGAGTGATATAAAGAAAGCCTGTCAAGTACATCATATATAATATAACAGACCCTACCTGATACAATGAGTTCAAAACATGTAACGAAGATTCCTGTGACATTATCACACTTGCATGCTGTAGAATTAGACACTTGAACCATGGAAGGGCACATGCCATTACAGCACCCCTAAAATAACGAGAGAATAGCTTATAAATAAAAGCATCAGGAGTTGGTGCAGAATCTGACAGCAATTTTTTTTAATAGAAAATTTTTTGATGCACGACAAAGGGTAAATTCTAATAACAAATTACAATTATATGTCAAGTTTCTGTTCAATAATCTGTAAATGCGAAGTGTTAATGAATAATGATAGGTATTTTGGCAGCCTCACTTCATATTTTAGTCTTACTCTCTTTTTATTTGAATTATAGTATATACTACAAAGGAAGGACTTATTTTTAATTAGGGTTTATGTCATATATAAAAGGGTTCCAAAGTATAAGGACTGACCCGTTTTCGCCAAATAATAGGAGTTTTCTTCAAATGTCCTAACTCCTAATTGTTAACAGAAAACCATCATTCCTTGGGGTGAGTTCAATATCTCTTAGCCAGTGATTTCTCCACCAATATTACTTGAGTGTTACAGTTTTATCCTACGTCTACTCCCCCACCCCCCACCCCCCGCCCACAGCACCAAAAAAAAGTCCAGTGTTGGTAGTAAAAGTATAGCATGTAGCTATATCCCAAGAAAAGTCTCAAATAATCCTTGTCAAATAGCTTTTAAAAGATTTTGAATTCAATAAGTGGCTATTCATGCAATAACAGAACTGTATTCATTAAGGCTTGAAACAAATAAGTTAAAAGTTTAACTTAAAGATAAATGTTCCAAATTCCACTGTGATGTGTCATACCTAGACTCGGTAATGGATATGAGAGAGTGGAGGAATTTGACGACGTTCGATGGGTTCAACTGTGCAATTGACTTTGTAATAACCTGCAAAAGGATTAAAGGAGCTATATTAGTCATCAACTCATCATGCACATCATATAAAAACTGGAAAGGTAGGTAACTTCTTATTCTAAATATACATAAGTCAGTAATATAAGAACCTTCTCATCTTGTGTATACAAGCAATCTAGCAAAAGGGTGCGATCATCAGCATTTAATGCTTGTCTAAGCAAAACATGTACAGAGTCTGCACTCGGAGGCTTAGTTGGGACAGAAGAATCAAGCTCATTATCAATCCTGAATTTGTTTTCATCTGGCAAACTGAGACCAGCAAGTTTCTCTCCCATAGTTAGTTCACTTAAATCAACATCATGAAGGACTCCATCTGCAACCTCACCTTGCTCTACATCTGATTTCAGTATAAGAATAAATATCAATCGATACTCCTCAGAATGATGATAGGACTCATCTACACAAACAGTAAATCTTTACATGCTTTAACATTAACGGATTTTCAAGTAAAAATAGTTTAGCCAGTAGCAAACCTAAATGCTATCTAAAATTTGTCATTCGAACAAGAATTTTACAGGAATACAGATTCTAATTTTCACGAATCGTATATTAATAGGAAAATTCAAATTTGAATAGCAAAAAGCTTGTACTAACTATTGTGAGTTCATCAATTTGTCACACAAATTATGCCTACACTTGAGTAAAAGACACGTAAAAATTGAAAACGTTATAACTTATATGATTCTTACCAAAATGGAGTCCGTTTGTTGTGGCTGGGAGATGAGGATCGCAAGTTGCTTGTCTTTTCTTCGCCTTTTTGGTTTCCATGGAAACTGCTTCTCCCAAGTTTGAACTCTCCTTCGCAGGGAGGGAATAATTTGAGAAACAACAAGTGTTTTAGGGTTTAAGAAATTTAGGATTCAAATCCGTCATTTTTTTTAATTTTTTTTATATGAAATAGGAGGCTTAAAGCCCAATAAAACTTTTAAGAATCATAAAGGAGAGTTACATCAGATTTATCGACAGGAAAAAAATGAATCTAACTAGTGGAGAATCGAAATAAATAACATATATACTAATATATAAAGTAGATCATTATACTTTTCATTTTAAAAAATTAAAAATATAATATTTTTCTTAAAATTAAAACTTTAAAATTAATTGATTAATTATAATATTAAATTAATTTATATTTATTGCTTAATTTTATTTTATTTTATCTTTAATAGAGACACGAAATGTCTCGATCATACTAGTAAGAGAACTGGGAACTTCTTTAACAATATTCCATAGAACTCAAATTAAGAAATAGCAAAACAATCAATTATTTAGTTAACTTCTTTAATAATATAAACTCAAATTACATTGTAAATGTCATCTACCATTTTAACAATATAATTTACTAAGAAATAGTAAAGATTCTCTAGAACACTATCATTCAAAAATTTGACCATTATAGCCAAATATATTGGAGTCTCTCTCTCTCTCTTTTTTTTTTTTTCAACAATCATGGGCAGTTTATTTAAAATTTAATTTTTTTTAAAAGCATGGTTTTTAAAAAAATATTTTTTAAATAATTAAATTAAAATTATTTCTTAAAAAATTCAATAACTACCTTTAAATAAAAATATATCAAAAGCTGTTCTTAAAAAAAATATTAAAAATTTATTTATTTTATAGTAATATGGCCGATAGAGTACACATAAATGAAAAATAATTATCATGATTTTATAAAGTTAAATTAGCATTTAGTCTATTTTTTTTAAGTTATATTTTGGAACGTTTCGAGAGAAGATTATATGAGAAAAAAATTGTGAAATATGAGACGAGAGCAAATAATCATATAAATTAGTAAAAGTTAATAGTTATTTTTTATATGGAGAACGAATGGTTTTAAATTTTATGAAAACATGTTTAGGAGTAAAGGAATCTAATAAAAAATAAGAGTCAAATATAAGTTATTCAAAGAGGTATCCCTAATCATAAATAATATTTTATTTTTTTTATAAGGATCAATGGAGTGTTAGAAATATATTATTTGACATCTTCTTTTGAATAGCTTTTTATTGATTCAAATTTATTTAAAAATATAAGAATTAGTAAGTCTCACACCCTATCTTATTTAATGACTTTTTTTTTCTTAATTTTTAATAAATTAATTAATAAGAAAATATATTAAGAGAAGTATGTTGATAACATTCCTTTTTTTTTTAATCTTTTTATATAGGAAAAATTATATTCACCTAATTAATAACCTGGTGTTTATTTAAATGATATACATCTCTTCTTTAGTTTTTAAAAATTATTCACCTTTTTCGGAATAACATTATTAATTAAAGTAAGAGAAATACTTTGTCAATCATATATGCATTTATCTTTCATTTCTGAATTATATACAATATTTTATCTTTTTTATAAAAAAAATTCATTGTTCTTTAATTTTAAAGCAAGAAGAAAAAAAGTAATTTGTTGTTGCTGGCCTGAAATTTAATTATGATGACCTATGTTATGGCCTTTACTCACTCATATTATATACTATGCAATTAAGTTTCAAAAGAATTTTTCTAATTGATGATATTTTTTGTTAGCTTAGTTTTCTCTATGGTCTATAGAAATTTATTACAAATATTAAAATTTTAATTTTAATTAATGTGTGGCAATTTTATGAGTTACAATTATCATTATATGTTGCTATTGTAAAAGCTTTCAAGGTAAGTTTATTCTTTATGGTTTTATTATTATTGCCTCATAATAGAGATGCTTGATTGCTCTTAATGTGAGCATAATTTTCTTAAATAACATAGGTGACAATAATGAGTAGTTCTCAGTAAAAGGAAATAAATAAAAATGTAGGTTGTTGCTGATAATAATCATATATGAAATGAAACTTGTTATTATTTTCACGTTGTGTTGTGTAAATCCAAATATCATTGTTGGAATCTTATTTTAAATTGTATATCTTAAAATAATTGTTGTGTAGTCTGAACAATTATTTGAAACCATTAATTGTATATCTTATTTGCAATTGCAATAACGTATTAAGAGCCTAGGTATTTTCCTAAAAAATTAGGGATAATCCCTTGGCTAGCTACATTGATTCACCCCAACCTCGTTACGTAACTCATCCTATCTAATTACACCTTGGTCTTGGTAGGATGCCTTTTGTTGGAAAATTATGTTGTCCAACATGTCTGGTGTATGTGTTGAGTTTTGGAGTTTAAATTTTTTATGCATGCTGATGCCAAAACCAAGTGCCCACATAAGTTTGTTATTCAACTTTCTTGAGAGTGCATAACATTTTAAGTGTCTATTGTCCCAAGGCCTACGCTTACTAAATTTCAATCTCAGCTTGTAGTTATAACAACAATGTCTTTTCTTTTGGGCTATTTGGAACTGTTGATGGTTTCAAGTGATTTTATCTAAATAAAACGACAATGACATATGTTATTTGATAAGTTGTCAAGAACACAAGTCGAGGCAAAGTGTTTAATCACAAGTATTTGTGACCACCTTAAGTGAATGTATTTGTAACTACTTTCTACAAGCTTAGCCTTCTTCCTTTGTACGTGATGTTATAGTCAATAATTTTACCCCAAATTTTTTAAAAGAAAAAGTAAACATTAATTATGGATATTGACAATTCTAATCACATGTTCTTTGAAATTGAGAAATAAGGAGGCAAAGATCCTTGCTTTGTTAGAATAATAATAACTAAAATCTCTCAAATAGTACAACTAATTCAGTCCCTAGGCTCTACAATAATAAGAGGAAAATACATAGAAAATACATGTAGATCTTTATTGTTGAAGAACATGACAAAAACCGACCCAGAAAATAAATTATATATATATATACACACACATTACATACATGCCCATTAGCCTTTTCATGATCTACCTATTTGTGCATATGTGTCTCCCCACCTTCCCTAGTGTTGTTCCATATACCTTTTACAACCATTCCCTGACTGATACAAATTATGTCACTTATGAGGACCCCTCAAGCCCCAGCCTTAAATTAAACCAAGTGCAAACCTCATCCATCTCTTTAGGAACTGTGTAATGACCAAGCCTGCACACATGACAAACCAAAAGTTGGGCAACTGCTTTAACCGATCCATGTTCAATTAGTGGGATGATTTCAAATAAAAATAAGTTACCCATCATAGGATTTGAACACAACATGCCGAAACCCCGCTGAACACAAGGATTGAACAGATTTTTCTCCGTATTTGCAAAGGATTACATCATCACCTACACAATAAATTTGGAGATAGCCATATTAGAATCCTAAGCAATAAAATGGATTTTAATTTATAAACATTCCTTTAAAATAAAAAGGAACAAGGCATCAACATATAAGATTTATAGATACATACTAATTCCATGGCACAACAAAATGGGCAACGAAGCTGCTCGCTTTCTTGCTTCATGTGACACTTCTATCTTGTTCATTAAGCTCCTACAAATAACAGGTTCCAACTAGTGTCAACCATGTGAATTTAGTTCATAGATTATTGGGAATGCCTGTGGAACAAGTAATCTTGTAATATACCTTGATCCGGGAAGCCAACCACTTAATCCAACAACTGCTCTTAAGTTAACAGGGTATGGGATGCCATTTCCATACCTTCCCATGGCAAAACAAGTTGCAGAGTATAGGGCTATTGCTGCACCCATGCTGAAGCCTCCAATACCAACTTTCACTATCACATAATGAATTGTTTAACATAATCAATCTTCAAGATATCAATAACATCTATATCCAAATTGGATTTGTTTCAAGGATACAGACCCAACCCAGAATTATAGATGAATGTACTTGGTAATAAATTAAAGATTGATCAATTTTTTTAACTCATCCTAGTGTAGAAATGATATTATGGGACCTTGTGGAATTGCAAATTTTTGAGGTTTTATTATTAGTTTATTATTATTTAGGCTAGAAAATACCATCAGTTGGCTCTGTTGACAACAAGTTAGCAATATGTGCTGCTGAGGCATCCAAACCCTCCCAATCATCTGGACCATCTTCTGAAAGTTCTCCCATATCAAACCCTGATTAATAACCAATACACTAGTTAGAGTTTTTCTTGTATTTTACTGTAAAAGTTTTCGGGTTACATACTATTGATTTAAACCAGATAGAGTATGAGAAAAATAAGATTTTGACATTACATGCAGTACAGGAAAAGCCACCAAGTATCGCCACAGGACGGGTAGGAGCAGTTGGGCAAATCCATTTTATCTACATCATATTATATTTGTGAAAAACATCAAATTCTAGAACCCCCAAAGTTATCATAGTTATGGGGGGTGAGAATATAGTTTACATAAGCAATTAAGTTAATTTCAAACTAATTCAAGATGTAAAATTCTTACATTTGGAAGCGGAAGGGATTCAAGGAGTTGAGATGAGCTGCAACAAAACAAGGCTCAAAATCAGACAAACTTGTAATTTGACATCAATTAGGAGCTAATAGTTTCCCAGCCAACATTTTCTAGAATAAAGTACTCAATCAAGCATTGAAGTACTCAAACTCAATGATATTATCTATGACAACACTAAACACTATAAAGAACATTACCAGAATGTACCAGTTTTTATTCTTAAAATATATTCTTCTATCAAAAGTCATGTCTAGCCATTCAGTTGGTGGAAAAACAAGTGAATTCGTGGTCCCCCAATTGAGAATTTAATATATGCACTTCACAATCAGGATTCCAAGAATTAAAATCACAATTTTCTTCAATAGAATTTATTCCATGTAGAATCTATGCAAAAAGAAGTCCAATATTGAACATTCAACTCAAGACAACTCCATTTTGGATCCCACCGATATATTTTGTATTTTTCTCATAAAAGTTCCATCATTCATAAACGGATTGTGTACTTGAAGCAAGTGAATGGGGGTAACACACAAAAAGAATAAGAATAGGACACTTTTGGAATTTGAAAGTAGTGAAAACTAGATCCAACCTATAAACTCTTTGAGCTCCCTAACCAAACATTTAGTTTGTAGAAAATTGAACTGTTGAAATACTTTTTGGGTTTGGGGTTGGGTGTAAGGGTTAAACGAAAAATGTCTACATGAATTAATCTTGTCAAGTTGAATTTTCACGTGACATGGTCATGCAAAGAATTGTATATATCTCTGCCTTCGAAGTACTCACCAATATCGATTATGACTTACTTAAGAGACACAATTTTTATGTGATTAGATTGTGTGAAAGTTCAACAAGAAAAAGAACTCATTCCCATGTTCACTTATGCCTCAACTTTATATTGTTTCGAAACCAAAAGCAAGAAAGAGCAGAGTGAAAAAGAAAAGCAAAAGGAGACGTTAGGGAACGAAAAAGGTAAATAATATAAAACATTAAAAGATTGCAGTAGAAAGGAAATAAGAATCGAAAAGATCTACAAAGGAAAAGTAAATATAGAACCAGTAAGTAAATGAATAACTAATAGTTATGGCAATGTTAACATGGCCCATGACAATATTGAAGAAATGACATCCATACCTCAATCCATTATCACCAAGACCATGCAACCAAACTATAGTGGCTTGGTGTTTTCCTTTGGGCCTCACTACATGTGTCTTCCCAAACTCAAAAGCTTTTTGAGTGGTTCTACTACCTGCAATTGTGATGTGAACTCCATAGGATTCCATCAAATTGTAAGCAAGAAAGCTTACTACTCAATGACATAACAAGTTTGAAGATAGTTACTAATAGATTTCAAAACATGGGGACAAAATAATGATAATCCTTTAAAAGGATCGAGAATATCAACATTGGAATTAAAAAAAATGCAAGAAGTTAGAGGAAAAGATTATAAATATGACTTACCAAAAGACCTGAATAACAAATAAATATAAAGAAAAAGGTCCTATAATTGAATGATAGCAATCTAGAGATAAAATTTATGCAAGGTGCGAGGAAGGATAAAAGATCATGAAAAGGTGCAAAATAACAAACCAGAGCCCATATGAGAATGTGCATGACTCATTTTGCTGCTTGAAGAAAGTGTTGAAAGCACCCCCACACACACACCTATTACAACATCAATGAGTATGAAGAGGTTCTACAATGAAGAAAATGCAGGATGGTGATGCCCCTTTATACTCTAAGGGGTGTGATGTAGTTGGAATAAAACACGTGAATACACTTTTGCATGTATGTATAGTCACTAGTGAGTGCACCAGCTAAAGAATGCTGCTGCAACCGCCTAGAGGGGTATCCATGAAAAGGAGAGGTAAAGACAAACACAAAAGTAGGAAACCTTTATGAGCAATGAGAATCAAAGTATAGCAGAGCATAATCATCCATTCCTAAGCCACACAGCTAGGAGAAAGGACTTTGGAGTCTCACATAGAGAGAATATATGCTTGTGGGAAGTGGCAAGAAAATAAAGCAAACCACAACAACCACAAAAGAATATTACTAAAAACAAGAAAATAACCTAAGTTTGTAAAACAAAATATCTTTTCACAATCATTTGTTTATGGATTTCTGCATGATTGATGGATACCCATGATCATCAAACTAATTTTTTTCTTTCAATTTTTGCCTACTCAAAGGAGCTCAAGAAAAAATTGGAAATCACCAAGAATTGCACTTGAAAAAGGAATCGAAGCTTCTTGGTATTTTCCCCTCCTTTCTAGTGCCCCATAAATGACAATTAAGCTCAGTAATCTAACATGGATTTCAAATTAGAGTTGACAAGAAAAAGCATGTAAGCTTTTCATTCTAACCTTCCTTTTTTGGTTGTCTTGCTTGCCACTAAACTTAGTTGCTCAAATCTTATCCCCACTTGAAGAAAAGTTTAATTTGTTTATACACATGAGAAACAACATATGTCCAAATTCTATATACCTTGTCTTAAGCATAATGACAAATAATAATAGTGGCAGAGCTTTTATTTAACACACTTAGGTGAAAAATTAATGTCCTAAGATGTCCATTTATTTAGCAGTCAGGTATCTCTTTTGGAAGAGAAAAAAAATAAAATTCAAGCCATGATCTTCCCCAAAAGGAATCTTAAGAAGCATAACAAATGTAAGCCCATTATTTATCAAATCTCTATGTTATAAGCTATTAGTAGATTTTTGTATATCTTTTGTTTTGTTAGTTAGAAAGGGCCTCAGTGGAGTCCAACTTGAATATATCTCACTGACCAACTTACTTATTTTATTGGTTTATAGTTAAATGGCTTTCCAATTTTCCATCTCTAAGTTGTGCAAATATTTTTAGCTTTGATTCTCACGGTAATAGAAAATATGGAATTTATTGAAAAGAGAAAGGTGGACTTGTCACATATCCCAGGCTCAACGTACAAGATAAAATTGAGGTATACAGAGGTAGAGCCACTATGCATAGGTCAATGAGTATATTTATTGTGCACCACTATGTCTACTCCCCTATAATATTCAGTTTTCATGCAAGCTTACTTGGAAATCTTAAAATGCTATATGTCCTTCCTTCTATCCACTATTTGTTTTGCAGCTTAGAGTAGCACCATTCTTTCCCATGTTCTATGCTTGCATTGATGGAAACTCTGTACTAACATGAAAATTTCAAATTGGAATATAATCAAGTCCCAAAAGAATTCATGAACCAATTTATTTTGCGTAATGTCAAACTATCATGATATGTGATTCCTTCTTCATCTTATTGGTGTAACAAACCTTCCAAACACTGCTTTCTTCTTAAGTTAAAATTATTAGGTGAGTTATCCTTTATAACATGGACAAACCCCCACTTGAGAAAAAGGTGAATGAATGGCTATAATTCCAACTCAGACACTAGTTTTGTCCTAATAGAATCGAATGACAATGTTTAACACTTTATCTTTCTTTCTTTTAACTATTGTGGTTTTAAAATTGTCTTCTTAAGATAAAGCCTTTTGAATAATGATGTTTCATTTAGAATTTAGTTAAAACTATTTTGCTTTTGCACCTCTTCATTACAAAATCTAAATAGAATAAATATAGGGGTCCACTTCCTTATGAAAAAAAAAAAGTAAAACATATTTCTGTCCCCATCTTAATTTTGGTTTCAATTAAAATTTATTATGTTAACCTGTTTATTTTCATGAATATGGATTTACACAATTTTTTAAATCTGACAATTAAAGGTTAATTTGTGCTTGTAGAACATGATCTCTGCTAATTAAATATTATTTTAATATTAATAAGAATTGATCCTGTGAATACAAGTTGACTTTATGTTTCCGTTAACTTTGGTTAACTTAGAAAATGATATATCAATCATATATCAGCTAAAATTATATTTTCAGTGCAAAAAAGTTAACAGAAAAATCCATTTGATCTAAGAAATAAACCTTTAACAAACTAAAATGAAACTTGTAAAATTTAGAAACCTAAACTAAAATAAAAATAAATAAATATGACAAGAAACCAAAAGTGTATTTCAGTTAAAAATACATGACTAAAAGATGTCATATTGGATGTTAAATCCATTTTTTTCTCCTTTTAAATGGGTGTCGAAATTAACCTAAGAATTAAAATGAATATCTTAGGAGATATACATTGGAAAAGAAGAAAAAAAAAGGTTAAACAGTAGGGTTTGGTTGCATACATATAAGACAATGGTAGTAGAAGAAAAGCAACATCAATATTAAACTGGTTGACTTACTTGAAATAAGTTGTGAGGTGGAAGATGCTAATTGGTTGACCTGTTACTGGTGAGCATCTAATATCCCTCCAAAGTCAAAAAATAGTGGATTTTTCCCTCACCTAATAAGGAGAAATAGCTCCAAAAGCCCTTGTTAAAATAATTGAAGAGTACAAGTAGGAGCCTTTGTTTAAGATCAGACAAGATATGCTGTTGGCACTAGCTTCTTGTTGGAGATAAGTTACTGTGTGGTAGGTGTAATCTTCAAGATTAAATAGCCAAAGCTTTTCAGTAAAGGGAACAAATTTGAGTACCCAATTGAAAAAGTGTGTAAACTTCTGAATCTCATAAATATAAGCTGGAATGCACACTCACAACAAATATTCCTTTGCTTGGAGAAAAAGCATTTGTTTAACTCAAACCACAAAATAGTTGTTTTATATAAAACTTGAGTATTTTAACAAATAACCCCTTCTAAAAAAATAAAACAAACATATAACTAATTTTTATATAGACCACAAGTTTTCTCAAGTGAAAGTAATTTTATTTGAACTGACAGCATGTTTGTTTTATAGTTGAGAAGCCTTAAATGTATGTTCGATTCAAAGTTACAAGATTCATGAATTCAGTTAAACGGACATTGAAAAGTGTGCTGATGGTAAAACAAACACACACTAAAACTATTATAAGTAATAAAACTTTTTTATCTTTACATTTAATACAAATGTAAATTCAAAATTTGAATTCAAGATCAATTTAGAGCAATTTCACGGAAATTAACATATGTACTTTGTGATAAACAAATAACACATTACCTAAATATTTTTTTTTCATGGATATAGTCTATATAATATACTAAAATTGATAATTATGGATTAATCTACATTTGTAAAACATAATAAACATGATTCAAAATAAACTTATTTAGAGATACACACTAATATCTTTTAAAGAGAGTAATGGTGTGTTTAGTTCTAAATTCTAAATGTATTTTTTACGATTAATAAGTTATTACTTCAAGTGAAATTTAATTCAAATCACTTAAGTAATAATGTTTTAGATTCAATTAGGTCTTGTTAATAGAAAAAATGTGATTGAGAGTAGAAATTATAATAAAGATGGTCAATGTAATATTAATGAATATTTCATATTAATAACAATTATTAAAAAAAAGTGTGATTTTAAGAAACTAATACAAACGTGATTTTTTTTTCAAAAAAAAAAAAAAAAGTATTCAAGCACGCTAGTCAAATTTTTTGAGTCACCTAAAATGTATGCCAAGAGGCTGGTGCTCATCTATAATCTATTGTGTATTGACTAGACATTTGTGAAGCATAACACGCCTGTTTCTAGCTTCACCTTTTGTCATTCAAAAGTTTGGATCAGGATAAAAATAAACAATTTCATATAAGGATTTTAATATATTGAAACCATATTTAACTTGGTGGGAAAAGATGCTAAATTGTTCTACACTCTTTTTAAAATAGAAATCCATTTATTTGTAATAAATAATTATATTTAAAAATTACCTTACCTTTAACGTCCTAATTAAGAAAGACATGTGACAAAAAAATGTTTAAAAAATTATAGAAAGAACAAGCATCAGCACACTTTAATTTGCTGCCTTTAAAATTGAGATTACTTTAATATTTCTTGGTGTGCAAATTCAAACATTGAATCTGTTGATTCGGTATTTAGGTGCGAATGCTACAGTGTGGTAGTGCACATTACCTTATATTAGGGTGAGATTAGAGTATTAGTGTAAAACAAAATATAATTACATAAAAAAAAAACTATGAAAATATAAAATGATTCTTATGAAATATTATTTTATATATGCTTACATTAATATATTTTGTTGTAAGTCATAGTGAGATAGCTGGTTTAATCTTTACTTCATTAACATCGAGTGAATAAAATAGTTAATATGATGTTGTTCTTATTTAATTAATTATGTGTCTTAAATTTGAAATATGTATTTTAATTAAATATTTGAAGTGAAAAATTTTGTTTCTCAAAGTGATTTCGAATAAAATTATTTCTTTTAAATGATACTTGTGGTGTATTCTAAAGTTAATCACTACTAATATCTTTTATTGGAGATAATATTAATCAAGTTGAAATTACTATACATCAGTTAATTTGGTTGCGGGGAATTGTAATATTCCAAACAAAAACAAGAAGGTTTAATCATTAACATAAAATTACTTGTTGATATTGTGATATATATGAATTTATTATAATTTTTTTCGTTAACTTTTCATAAATAATTGAGAATATTTGATATTCTCATGTTTTTCTCGTTTTAAAAAATTTAAATCCCTTAATAATATGCTATTTATTAAAGGAATAAGATGTCTTTTTTTTTTTTTTTTTTAGGATTGTTGAAATATTTTGTATTCAATCTTAAATGGGATTGAGTAAGACAAATTATTGAATCACTTGCTTTGTGAATGAAATCTTCTTGAAAAAAAGTGTAATTATCTAATTATTAGTTGGGCTACAAAAAGTATATTTTGATTGCTATGCAAAATTTCAAAATTTGGTTTGATGTTAGGGTGGACCAATATAATTAGACGACAAAACTTGTTTAAAAAGTGAAAAAGAAGTTTGTGCTCATCATTAAAAGTCAAATACAAATGATAAGCCCTTTTGATATATTGCACTTCATGTTTCTTTGGTCCTCACCTAATCATTCTATGTCATGCTCTTGCTTGGATTGTCTTACGTTAAATTTTTCGAATTTAATGAATTTTTTCTTGTAGTTATGATGATGCGATAATAACAATTATTGTTATAAATACATTCGATAAACCATTTCAGTTAGTTTATAATATTTTTAACTTATAACTTATTTTATTAAGGTAGAGGTGTTGAGTAAATAGACTTATCTCATTAACTTAATTATAATATTTATTAGACAAAATTTGTAGCACTTCAACTTAGCGTTTTTTTTATTATATTTTTTTAAAGTTTTATGCTCAATATTTTAATAAGATTTCTTAGCTACTTTATCACTTAATATTGTACTGTTTATTTAAATTTTTGAACTACTTATATATATTTTTTTATAGAAATATAATTTATCTTTAATCTTAATTAATAAAATATGTTGTCTTCAAGCCAAAATATTAACAGTATAAAATTAAAAATTATAATAAAAACCTAAAAAAAATTGTTATCTAGAAAATAAAATATATATAAAAATCACAAAACAATTTATTATAGTATCATTTTATATTTTGTCAATTATTTCAATAGTTAATTTTACTTAAATACTTTAAATTTAATAAACTAACTTAATAGTTAATACCTTTTATCCAACAAGTTTTAGTTAAAAATTAACTTTTCAACTTGTATTTAACTTTACCTATTTTTTCTAAACATGGCTTGTGCCAATTATTTAAATTTGGTGGGGGGGGGGTGTCTTTCTAAAATTTTCATTCCTCCACCTTTAATCAAATCATGAAGATTTTGAATTTTTAAAGGTTCATGATATTTACAGTTTAAACCCCCCTCCCTTTCTCATCTTCCACTTTTTTTAATATATATATATATAAGGTTCATGATATTTACAGTTTGACTAAAATATTTTTTCCGATTATTATTACTTTTTATATCTTAATAAAATCTTGTTAAGATACTCAATGATAGAACTATTGAAATCTTCTTCGTGTTTATATATATTGTTGAAGGAGAGATACTACGTGACTTTATTATTTAAAAATGAAAAAAAAAGATAATTATTAAATAGTTCAAAATTTATGAAAAGTAAAAAAAAAAATATAAACTAAATAAAAAATTGTGACAAAGATAATAAAAAAGAGTAGTTTAAAATTTGTTAAAAGGACAAAATTTATTCAAAAAAATTGTGTAAACATAAATTATGTTATATTAAAGAGTTTTCCAAATGCAAGTAAGAATATAGACTCATGAGGACGAGTGAGTTGGAATAGTCAAGTGCAAAATACTTTAATTTGTCTTCTTGCACATCATTATTTTAATTTTGGAAATTATTTTTTGCTTGAGCAAATCTTATTTTATCTGGAAAATAACTGGTTTTATGTTCATTGTTTAATGGAAAATATATAAACTTATTTAAAAAAAAATCTCATCTCATTTGGAAAGTAAAATATTTAATGATCATCGTTTTATGAATTTATTTGCTTACTGTTTTTTATTAACGTTATTATCCGTTTTTAATCAAGTTAAACCTTATTGTAAAAAATAATCAAGTTAAACATTGATATTTTTTAGTTGTTTTCATGGTGGTTTTCTGAACGATTGTGGCAAAATATTACCGTTTTCTCTTTCCTTAACGTTGCTTTCGTAATTTTCTTTTATCATTCAGAAAATGGTATCAGAATTTTATTATAAATAAGTAAATCTTTCGTGAAAAAGTGATTTATCTTTTTTGACAAAAAAAAGTAACTTATCTTCTTTCTCATTCTCTTTTAAAATTTTGTGTCCTTACATTTTGTACGTGCTAGTTTTGTGTCTCAATACTATGATGAAAATTTTCGAATGTAAATTGATTTATGTATTTAAGTCCTTAAAAATAATGAAATTACACATCATAGAAAGTATTTTTGTTTATAGATACAATGACTATCAACTTGTATGAATACAATTTTAGAAATGTTTTTTGAGCTTTTTTATTAAAAAATATTTTATATTTTTAATTGAAATTTTTTTAAAAACACTTTTAATTTATATCTAAATAGACTTTATATTAATCACTTATAACTTATATCCAAATCATACTTTATATGTTTCTTATGTATTTCATGATCCACACCTTGTTGTAAACCTCAAGTTTTTTTCTTCCAAGTTTGTGATGTAGTATAGTTTGGTTTGCTAGCCTCCTTAATTTTGTTGCTGATCTTGAAGTTCATGTTTTTTCCTTCGGTTTATCCCATATTCCCATTTCTTAATTCTCACAAGGCATTGGAATCCCCTGATTTTCTGTTTGTGTTAGTAATAGCAACATGAATGAATTAAAGTCATATAAATGAGTCCCACAAGGTCCATAAAAGCATGTTCTCTATTAGAAAAGAACCATCAACAGCTTTGAAATTGAATATCTTCATAAACTGATCGCAGCTCCTCAAACAAAATCAAAATTCACTTTCACAAGCTTGCATAGTGTCATTGATTCTGACTCAATATAAAGAAAAAGATAGTAGATGTTGTAAAAAATATAAACTAGGTAAAGTAAAAGATCTTCAAGAAGAAAATGATCCAAAAGGAATAATAGTTAGTAAAGCTTGTGTCATTATTTGTTTGTCCCAATAATTTCAATTTGTAAAGAAAATGACAACTATTTCCTTTTCATTATTGGTAAGAAAATGATGCTGGTTTTTACCCGAATATCTCTTTTCTTTTCCTATTAATAGATTTTTAATAAACAGAAATGGGTTATATGCATTTTCTCATTTTTAATTCCCTATGAATTAAATTCATGTCCAGTCCCCACCCGCCAGGTTTTTTTTAAAATGACTTTTTTTCTTCTTATATTGTTGGACAAGAAAAATCGTCGTCTCATTGTTCAGAATCTAGTGTTCTTTTTCACCCCTTCAATTGGAAGTTCACTAGACCCAAATAAACACTTGTGGATCAGAATGTCCAGTTAAAGATTTGGGTCAACGTTTGAATTTTGGGCCGTAGACCAGGCTCATTATTGATTTCAAAGGCCTTAAAATGAGTTTGGGTTGAGCTGATAAGTCTCTGAATTTGGAAACTGGAATACATGACCCAAAGTAAAAGAGATTGTTTGGGCATCATTTTAAAAAATTAAAAGGTCCATAAGAATTTGATTTCTACCAATATTCACACCACCGGTTGCCTGTAGCAACGTCACATATTACTATTGCTAGTATTTTTCACTCGCTCTATCATAATTTTATTATTGCATATTATGCAAGAAAATTTTCAGAAGAAAAATATTAATTGTTTTTTTTTTATATTTATTTTATATTCTATATCATTCTTATTATTTCAAAAAGATCTTTTAAGTTTTTAATTTTTTCGAAATGGTTAAATTTTTTAAACGCAACTTCTCAATAATGTTCGTCAAAACATAAAAATTCAAATACAATAAATTAGTTTTACTGAAAGATGCTTCTAAAATTCTTGTACAATTATTTTGAGTGAAAATGAAATTTATTTAGTTCTTGAAAACTGAAAAATCTCCTTTCAGAAATCAAATTATATGCTTTTTATACATTTTATTTGAACTCTCAATAGTGTAAAACACCTCTCAACAGTCAATAGTGTTTAACACCGTCGATCAAAGACTAACAATTGAGAATATATTTTAGTTTATAATATTTTTCACTGATGTCATTTTCTTAATTGAAGAAACAAGTAGGGAAAAAACGAGCAATATGGTTCAAAAAGGATATTAAAGTCATTAAGTCGTATTCGTATACTTCTCGTCCTCTTCACAGTATCTCAAGTAAATTTATGCATCATTTATCCTATAATTCAAATTGAAAATGAAGGTTTTTCATTAACTTTAACAACTATTTTTCTTCAAAAATGATTTTGGATATCAACAAAAAAATATCAACGGTTATTATTCCTATGAAAAGATAACTATAAAGTAAAAAATAAATCAATTTTTAAACTATAATTAACGAGGTTAAATGATACATAAGAAAAAAAATGCAAGCACAATGAGGCACTGTATAATTTAACAAAATAAAACAGGGATAAAAACTTGCATTATTTCCAACTGCAATGCAAAATGATTCTTCAATTCGATTAAATTGTAGTCTCTCTTTTATGGTTTAGGCGCTTAAAATAGTTGTAGGTTCTACATGTTCAAGAATTAATCAGTGTTGCTATCAATTATTTGGCAGAGCCAAAAAAGCTTCCTAACAGGATTTGATAGCTCAATCGAATGACCAGTGTTTGTCAAAAAAATAATTATAGAAACTTTCTATATCTAAATTCGCAAAACTGCGGGGTATAGTTTTACCAATCAAATCCTAACAAAACAAGGCCTCATGATTTTGAATGGTGCAAATGTCTCTTCTCGCTGCAAATTTTATTTCTGAAAGAAAATTGCAAGATGCAATCAATGGTGATCGCCATGTCCATAAGGATCACCGCCAGGTCCGACCACTTCCAGCTGTAAGGAAAACTCAAATAATTAGTTTCAATGAGCAGTAAAACACCCATTCAAAGCAGTTTTACGCAAACATAGAAGTTGGGTAGCATAGTGTTAATTAGATTCTATCTCGATAGAGGGACAAGCTTCGAGTCTCACTAGCAACATTGTTGGAACCACCGAGTTCAGCCTAGTAGTGAGAGATTGAGGTAATATATGTAGGATCCTAAATTTGAATTATGTCGTTACTGTAATTCCTATAAATAATAATAAAAAAAAGGGTTTTACACGAGGAAATAGATGATGTACTAACATTGTAAAATAATTTTACAATGTCTTCCAATTACAAATTATCATTTATGTAAACATGATACAGTGCACTAACTTCGCAACCATATCCGCAAGGAATGGAGTGGCTATAGGAACCTTTTTATGCATGCTTTTATGATGTAGGCATGCACCCTATGGTTTCTCTAAATCAAACATAACACAAGGTTAAATATTACAATGAAGTGTTGATGAGTGGTGACACTTGCAAAAGATAAAGTAATTCCTGTAATGTTTTCAGTCTAAGATGAATAAAAAAATAATTTTAACTAGCATTATGTCCATCAGTCCATGTTACTTTATTGCTTCTGGAGCCAAAAGGTTCGCTCTTCTGACTTGTAATTCTTTTTTGAGATTAAAACCAGATTGACACTTATACCAAATGGCTTCAAATGTTAATCAAAGCCAATCAACGTTCTGAAATTTGACGTGACAGTTCCACATCTATTTAGAATGTCAATTTTTGCTAAAATAGGAATCACATACACACGTAAGAAAGCAACATGCTACAACTGCAAAAACCAAAACAATTAATTGTCCGATGATCATACTTCAGGGTGTTCGGAGAATACATAATATTGGGTAAACATCGAAAAGGGACTCAAAGCATGTCATCACACATATCTTACAGAAGCAATATCAACATGTGAAGTCCATAGCAAGCAGTGGCCCTCAATAATTGATACCCAATGAAAAAAGTGCAGGAGCAAGCAAACAGATTAATAGTTTTCAATCTACATGCTCACATATCTTGACATTTAAATCCAGATCTATCATGGTAAGTAGATATGGTAACGATAAAATACTAAACGTGATTCTCAATTTACCTCAAAATACTGTGAGCACACTGGACATTCAAAAGACTTGCCTTTCTCCAGCCAAAACCAGACAACATCATGCTCGTCTTCTGCATAGAAAAAGAGGGCCGGGGGGTGTTCACCTCACAATATAACCAACTTCTAGTATTTTTCATCAGATTATGAAAAGGCTTGCGAGAGACAGATTCATTAAGAAAGACAAGGAACACTTACCGCCTTCGCCTCCTGGGCATCCAACTATCCTCCTGTCAAAGTATGATTTAACAACAGCAGGTGCTTCCTATCAACCAAAACAAATAACAAAGCATACATACTTTAAAATGATTATACATATTAGGGAAATATGAATCGAAAGAAATTATGTCAATTTTATAATTTCAGAGGATTGCTTCAACATTAAACTCGGTAGGCACTAGAGCATTACGGTAAGTAACAATGGTCCCAACTCAACAAACATTTTTATAATTTCATATCTAAAAATATGTCAATTTCTTGATGCGTACTTGCGTAGAGATCACGCCAATTTCATACATTTTGGTGCCCAATTTTTAAAATGTATATTTTATTTTAAACAATAATGTTAGGGTTAAAATATAATTATGCCATTTTGGTATAAAACAAGGAATTGAAACAAAAGGACAATAAAAAGGTACTCATAGTCATACCTTCTTGGATAATCAGAATGTACACATCGAAGATTAAATTTTAACAACACAATGCAAACATTACACGCACACCGAAATAACACTAACCTTTGTGCCGAAAGGACCTTCAGGATGGTTAATTTCAAGAATATCCCTTCCCTAAAAAAAAGCAGATTAAAACGATAATTATAGGCTTTCAAAAGACGAAAAACAGCAGGAAAAACGAAGAAATGAATCTCTTGAAATATGCAGAATTAACGTAGCTTTTATGTTATAAAAATGAATCAGATTCCTATAAGAATACCTCAAGATCGGCTTGAATCTCCTCGCGCTCGTGGCCGGTAGCAATTGGAACGATATCTTCGACCCTCTTTTTGAATGAAGCATCTAATTGATTGGGATAACAAGAAGAAAAAGCAAAATTGAATTGAATCGAAATAAGAAGTGTGGAACGCAATGGAGAGAGCGAAAACGTACCTGGTTGAGCGGTGACATGGCGAGTGAGGAGAGGGGCGGCGAATCGGGGATTGGAAGGAGAGAGTGCTGTGCGTAGGGTTTTGATTTTGAGGTGAGGAGAAGAGAAGAGTCTCCGCAACATGGTTAGGGATTTCGATCTCACAAGACGCTGTGCTAGGTCGTTGGTTCGTTAGGTAGCTATTGCCTTCTTTCCCTCTGTTCTACTGCACAAATACTCGCTCAACCATGCTCTTTGAACCCTCCACCCCTACACTTCACACGTCACCCACCTCCTCGCACGTGCCAAGACTTTTTTTATTATTATTAATCTCATCACTTATTTTATTTCTATTTTTATTCTCCTTTACTCCTTTTTATAACATCTAATCATTTTAATTCACTAATATTCTAAAATTATTAATTTAGTTAATTACATTAAATTTATCTTAATATTTTTTTTCTTCTCAAAATTACGTCTAACATCAGTCAAATCTTTATTCTACTAATTACTTATAAATGACTTTAATTAGAGATTAGAGATATTTGCTATAAAAATATAAAATAATTAATGCAAGAGACGCTTATTATTACTTCTTATAAAAAGACAAAACAACATTTTAAATTTAGGTAATATAAAATAGTGCAAATCTTCTGTAACAGATCTAGAATGCTAAAATATTATACTGTATTGTTATAAATCACATATATTTTCTTTTTAAAGATAATTTTGTTTAAGTGGGGTCATTATAAATAATAAATTTTTTATCATAAATATTTAATATAATTAATTAGTATCAATATATTTCATTTTTCATCTAAAAATGCATGCAGTTGAATTATCTACCACCAGGCATT